TAGTGATGCACGAATGCCATCGTTGCCGACCCGGCCTAAGGTTGGGCTGGGTTTTCATCCGTCGTCGCCCGCCTACCTATCCACAGCTGAACCTTCACCGCTGCGTGGGCACGATTGCGCTGGCGCCCCGCCGTCAGCTAGCCTCCACGAGCTGTCACCGACCGCACCTCCTCGTACCACACGCCTCTTCGGCCTCAGCTTCCGTCAGCCTCTCCTCCCGCTGCACTGGCCACAACCACCGTCGACCGCGCCTCCTCGCGCCTCGCCGGTCTCTGCCGCCGCCGACCGGCCGGCCACTGCTCCCGCACCTCCGGCCGGCCACTCACTGCCGCTGTCATCGCCGCAAGCTTCAGCCTCCTCTGCCACTGGCCACTGCCGTCACGCCGCCGCGAGCCTCCGCTTTACCGCGATGTCGTTGCTGCCACGAGCTCGGGTCGTGCCGCACCGGCAAGCACCTCATCGGCCTCTCCCTTCACCGGCCTTGCCTCTTGCTGCCACTAGCTCAGGTCGGTGCCGCCGCGAGCTCGTCCTCTCACGATCCGGCCGTGGGGTGGGTAGGGGGTGGGGGCTGGGGGGCAGATCTGCCACCAGACGGGTTGGGGGAGGGGATCCGCCCCGCCGGCCACTCCGGCCGCCGTCTCCTGCTGAATGTGTGCCGCTCCGCCTCCCACGCCGAGGAGAAGCTCCGCTACCATTTTCCTCACTTTTGCCTGCCTAGCTGGGCGCGGTTTCCGACAGCTGGCTCCGGCGGCGTCGAGGTTGCTAGAGGCGTTGAGGAGGGTGGCGGAGTGGGCGACTTAGGGTTTCGCCTCCGAGCCGCCCTTGTGAGAGCGACACGAGGGCGCGCCTTTGGCCATATGTAAAAGGAAATGTTATATGTTCCTCTTGAAATGTCACCGTTCGAGGCTGTGTTTGGGTGCTTTTACAATACCTTTCACTGCTAAGTGCTATATATTGTAGTAAAATTGAATCAGACTGTTGATTTATATGGTTATTTTAGACCTTCCGTTATAACTAGAAAGGTAGCCCACGCACATGCGCGGGCACTTTCTTATGTAATGTGAGTGAAATTTTATTATGAATATTTATGTGCAGGGTTTTTTTATTGAAATATTTTTATTATATTCTAAACTAAAATTAAACTTATTTTGTATTCTTTGAACGCTGGTATTTTCTTATAATTACTCTTTCAACATATAAATTATAAAATAAAATTATTTGAGATCATGTGGTTTTGAATTGACAAGAACATATTGTGTCGAAACTATGGAGGTGGTCCCTTATCTCGAAAAAAAAGGAGGTTGTTGCTATCAGAAAATTTAGGGTATTTTAACTTGCCAGATTGATACCTTACAACCCAAAAGAAATCAAATAATATATTTTTTTGTTTGATTGTATTGTAAAATTTTATATTTTTCATTCTAACAGTCCTCATAAATATATTTGAATTTTTATATTAAGTATGTGTTTTAAATCCAACAACAAAGTATCAAGGTCAATTTGTATAGGTACGTAGCCCTCATATGTATGTTAAGAGAAATTAATTCAATTGGTAGAAAGTTGTTAGATGCCTAACGTGATATGATATAAGTAATAGATGGAGATCCATTTGTGTTTTTTCCCATATAGATAATTTTAATTTTAATTGTCTAGGAGATAAAAAAACAGAGAGAAAAGAATGGCGCACGCTGTACACTACGGGCAAGGAGGGAGGGAGGTTTGGGATGTTTTTTCTAAATGATTAATATAACAACCTAAAATAATGTGTCAGATGTTTATGTCGAAACCGATGGTTGGATGCTTTGTTTTCTTATCAGAATTTTTAGGATTTTCTTTGATATAACAGAACGACGTAATATCTTAAAAGCATTTATAAGATGTGTAATGGACTTTTAATACCACATGCTGCAAAGGAGGAGGGAGGGGGTTTGGGGTGTTCTTTTTTTTAAAAAAAAAATAGATCAAGCGTTTATAAGATGTGTAATGGATTTTTAATACCACATGCTGCAAAGGAGGAGGAGGGAGGGGGTTTGGGGTGTTCTTTTTTTAAAAAAAATAGATCTAATGACCTAAAATAATGTTTCATTCGATTGAAAATAATGTGTTATGTCTAATCCGGTGGTTGTATGTTGTTTCCCAAAATTTCTAAGAATTTTCTATAATTTAAGAATTTCATATACCAGCTTAGAGTTTAATCCGATAGTCTAATGCTTTGTTCATTTTTAATATTTTCTAGTATTTTATTTCATTTAATAGCATCGTATAGCAGCTTAAAAGTGTTTGTAGCATGTTTAGAGTGACAGATCAGGAGCTGCTAGACCTAGCGGGTGGAGATATGTGGTATTTTAATATAAAAGTAATATTGATTTTAACTTCTCACGAAGAAAGCTCGTTGGTATGTACTTGACAGGGAGGGGAGGTTGTGGATGTGTGTGTTTTAAAAGAAAATACGATGTAACCTTCGAAAATGAAATAATAGACCCACCAATTTAATTGAAAATCGATGGGCGAATTAGAGTGTTACTTGACGATTTAGGAGCGTTTGTAAGGTGTTACTTGGCGGCTTAGAAATATTATAGGCTGTTTCATGGACTTTTAGTATATAATAGTATTTTTTTCTAAAATTTCTAAGATTTTAAGAATGTCATATAGTAGCTTAGAGGTGTTTATAAAATGTTTAATGGATTTTACCACCTTTTATTAAAAAATATATAACAACCTAAATGCATCAATTTAAGTAGAAACTAGTGGTCGATTGCTTTGTATTTTTTTCTAGTACTTTCTCCAATTTAATAGCATCACGTAGTGATTTAAAAGCGTTCATAGGATTTTTAAAGTGACGGAGGGAGAGATGCTAGACCTAGTAGTTGGTTGATTTTCTTTTTGCTTGTAAAAGTAATTTTTATTTTAGTCTTCTTAAAATAGAAAATAAGGAAGGAAAAGATGGATGTACGTATAGTAAGTACGTTCGTCAGTATAATCTAAAACTATTACGTACTTTTGTAAGTTGGTTCGGATGTTGGCTCCGGATGTTTTTTCTTTTTTACAAAATAGATCTAACCATATAAAATAATAATGGGTCCACCAATTTAAGTAAAAATAGATAGTTGGGTTTCTCTTATTTATTAGGTGCCATTTGACGACCTGTGAGTGTTTATAGGGTGCCACTTGACGGTTTGGAAGTGTTCGTAGGAAGTTTAATGGAGTTTTAGTTTAGTATATATAATATATAATAGATAGATAATAGATAATAGAAATAGATAGATAGATAGATAGATAGATAGATAGATAGATAGATAGATAGATAGATAGATAGATAGATAGATAGATAGATAGATAGATAGATAGATAGATAGATAGATAGATAGATAGATAGATAGATAGATAGATAGATAGATAGATAGTTTTTTTTCTTGCTATGAACAGTACTACCGAAGCTTTATTTCCTTTCAATCTCAGGTACGTACTTATGTTTGTATATGTACTTATTTTTTTAACCATTAGTATATATACATCTAATCTAATGGTTTATAATAACAGTCCACCAATTTAAATAAAAATCGATGCTGAGATTATGCAGTACCATGTAGCGGCCTAACAGCATTTGTTGGAGCGCCACATAGTGATTTAGGAGTGATTGTAAGATCACAAATTAAATATATCATTTAAATTTGTTTAAAAGATGAACAGTTAAAGATGATTGATTTGATATTTGATATTTATATTGTAGATCTAGTTTAACACTGCATGTGTATATTTATGAAGTAATATATTTCATATTTATATTGTAGATAGTTCTATTTGAAAGACCGTCGATTTTTTGACGGCCCTAAGTACTTATGTTTATGTTTTATTTTGGCTTTATCTTTATATAGTAAGTACGTGCATATATTTTTTTTCTCTCGGCAAACATTATGTACATGAGAAAGATATTATATTATATAAAACAACATGTCCATTAATTTAAAAATCAATAACACATAAATAAATTAATGGATCCATCAGTGAAAACCGACATTAAAATTAGTTCAACTGCATGTATATATTTGAAGGATAATATATTTCATCTTTATATTGTAGATATTTGCTTGTTGACAGCACTAAGCATGTATGTTTTATTTTGGTTGTTGTATCTCGTATGTACGTACATATGTTCTGTTCCTTCGGCAGACAAACAGTACGGACGAGAAAGATATTATATATATATATATATATATATACGTAGGTAAATTAAAGTATGGGCTCCAAGATTCAAATTGAGTATATACCCAATTTGAATGAGTTTGAACTTGTTTTTTTTTTGTTAGATTTTGGTTCTAGGTATATAACATTCAAACATATAATTCGTTAGGTATGTAATAATAAATTGTGAAATAAAGTTGAGTTTGAGTTGTTTTGTTGTTAGGTATTTGTATGAATCAAATTCATATACCTAGGTATATACTCTCAATTTGAAAATTTTTAAAAATTTGAGAGAATTTGTGTGTTTTATACCTTGGAGCCCGGGCACCATGGAGTCCCATATGGGTATCCTCTATATATATATATATATATATATATATATATATATATATATATATATATATATATATATATATATATATATGTATGTATAGATCTAATCTAACGGTATAAAATAACGGGTCCACCAATTTAAATGAAAATTAATGGTGAGATTAGACTATGCCACATGGCGACCTAGGAGCGTTTGTAGGATTGCCACGTGGTAGCTTGGGAGCGTTTGTTAGGAAGTTTAATGGACTTTTAGTATATAATAGATAGATAGATAGATATTTCAAGCTAGATCCTTTTATCATTTCTTCAATATTTAACATATATCTTCAATATCTAACATATATCTCGCAGTAAAGCGTGAGGCATCATCTAGTATATACTACCATAATGGCCAAATTGGCATATCCTGGACGAAGTCAAACATTGACTCAGGGGATCGGTCGTTACTCAAGGTTAATTGGAACAATTGTACTTGATGAGGTGAGTTGGGAGTGAGAAGATCATTGACACCTAAATTGGTTAAGACATGCAATTGGTGCATTATTTATGCATTTTGTCGAATTGTGTTGGACCATTATTTGAAATAAATAAAATATTAGCGTAATTACAATCTTTTCAACTATATATTGTGCACCATATGACTCCGTCCTTGATGGTTACTAGAAAATAACCGCGGCTTTGCCTCACATTAGTATACATAGGCCAGGTCGATTGGATGGACCCAGTGTAGTTATAAAGCCAGGTATATAAGAATTAATCATAACTAAATCTGTATATCCAAAAAAAAGGGCTACATAATCACAAAACTTTACATTCAACTTACCCGATAATCTAGTTTTACATACCATCAAACTCAGTTGCTTTTATTACTGACAATGAGAGATCAACTTTGTTTCCCCTTACAAAAGCAATAAGAGGTTCATATCAAATATGTTTTCCTTACAAAGATATTACATGATCAATACTTCGAGATTAGCATCAATGGTGAAATAATGAGATTTAACTATTTGTAATGAATAGAAAGTAAGACAATGTTTTCAGTGAAGATAATAATATAACTTATCACCGAATCCATCGTCTTGTGATATCTCATTTACCACAGCCTTGTTTGGCACGAGCATTGCTCTTTCACTGAATTGTACAGTGGTTAAAGTCCCAGTTCTGCACCTGCATTTCTCAGTCCCAGCACTCTATGTCAACATAAGAAAATGCAAAAAAGGCTATGACACTACTGAAAAATCGTTTTTTCGTGACTGCCCCACAGATTTCGTGATGGCGACATAAACACAGTCACCAAGAAGACATATCGTGACAGGCATTAGAACACCATCACGAAATTGGGTGTTTCGTGACTGGGAAGAGCAGCCCGTCACCGAGTTATAGAGTTGGTGACGGTGCAGTAATATAAAGCCCTCACTATACTATGCGATGGACTTAAATGGGCCAAGCTGCTCTGCCTCTGTCTGAAACTGTGAACCACCAAAAACAGAGTGCTCTTCTCGTTCCCCATGGCTCTTGCCCTAGTGAGCTCCACGCCTCCACCTCGACGCCGCGACTCTGCTCGTTGATTCATCGCCGGTAGTGATGCCGGCGAAGGAGCCCGTACATTCTCACCTCACCGTTGGTCTTGCCTCCCTTGCTCTCCTCTCTGACGGGCGTGCCGCCGCTGCTCTCCTCACGGTGGGTTTCGCCGCCGTCCCTGTGTCCTGTCCGTGGGTCGCGTCACCATTGTTCTTCTCGCCGTGAGGTGCGCCATCGCTACTCTACACTCCAGCGACCTGCCTTCTCCTCTGTGTTCTCAATCCTTCCACCAGAAATAGTTCCCTCTGTTTTTTCCATAGGGTGACACATAGGTGTTCGATGAAATGCCAATGCAGCGATTTTTGGTTAAATTTATGTCTGAGGCTTTTAAACCAGTAATTTGTCACAATGTTTTTATTAGATGGATGCAAAAATTCTCAGATTTCATTAGATAGTGGTATTAGGATAATTTATGATAAACAATTATGGATAGTTTACTGACCTTAGTTTTTGTACACTAGCTTTTTGGTTCCTTACAACAGTGAGATATTTTACAAGCTGCATTTTTCATGTGTTTGCATCCTCTGAATTGGATTTTAATTCATAGTAAGATATTAAGGCAAGTTGTTTAATGTGCATCTCAATTATAAACATTTGTGTTCCCTTTCCTATATATGTAGATAATGCACAAATATTGTTCTACTACTTGCAGGTGTACTAAAATTATACTTCATTTTTCTCGTACACTTGTAAGTGTTGTGTACTTTTGAAAAAATCAGCTAACTTTTAGTTAAAATTCCATATTGTTTGTTAGAGTTCTAAATTCTTCTAATTTAACACTATATAGGATCCTAGAGCGAGTTTACTGCAGATCAACGACATCACCTGAAGTATCTGTTGAACATCCACAAGGTAAAACTAAAGAATCATTTGTTCTTTTCATTTTACTTGTCACCATGCAAGTGTTTTCTGAATTATTTTCTGTTCTTTTCTTGTTACCTGCTATCATGCAAGTGTTGTTGTCACTGTCTAACTCTATGCAGATGTTTAGGAGGAGTTGGATAGCTTATAGATGCAGTTACCATTGTGCCTACACAGCTACTAGATGTAATGCATTGTGGGAATTAGATTGCTTCTGAACTTCTGCAGTCCATTCTTAAATTCTATATAGTTTACTGCCTGTGCAACGCATAATGTGGTTTTAATGATTTGTTGCTAGTAAATAGTGGAACAGGACATCTTTAATATGCCTTGGAAGTAATATGTTTTCGCTTTTCCAAAAATACTATGGTTAATTACTTGTTGTGTCATATCTTTAATATGTTTTCCTTTCATTTCTAAAGATGGCTTTTAAATCTAATGTAGACTGTTCTAATCAGTTTGAAGAATGGGACACAGAGGAAGACTGCTGTTTTTGATGCATCAGAACTAGAATTTTGGTGAGTCATTTTTATATTTATCATACTCATTTATATGCTACCATTAATTGGTCATAATTGATTTGATACTAGTCATCTTATGCCAAAATGACCAGCTTTGTATTTAAGAAACTAGAACATACTGAAGGTACCTAATGGCTTGCAAGATTTAAGGAAATTGTCTCTGTTTCTTAAAGATGTCCTGAAACTTAACACATACAAATGTGCTCCCTTGTTATCTGAAGCTACATGGCATGCCTGCGTTCTTTGATCTAGAAATTATTTTTCCTAGATATCTGAAGCTACATGGTATACATGTATTCGTTTTATCTTAGATGCTGAAACTCTGCACAGAAATGTGCTTATCCAGTTATCTGACAGCTGCCTGGCGTGTGTTCTTTTTATCTTGGATTCATTATTGAACCTAAACATGGCAAAAATATTGGAGCATTTGCTAAAGGTCCAAGAAAACTATTGTAATTTTGCATGGCTCTAATGACTTCATTCCAGTACAGTGTTTTAATCGGTATGCATGATAAGAGCAATTTACCAATGATTCATCTACTTGATTACCTCATGTGATTAATCTGATTCAAGCTTTTTATAGGCTTTTTTACGGTGTTGACTAGTGATTCCATTTGAATTTGGAGCTATTCAGTAATAATATTAGCTAATAACTAAATTGTAGCTTGCTGTAATCTTCAAGTGACATTCATTGAATTTTAAGGCAACAATTTCAAGTCCAGTGATACAGTTCAACTCAATTTGATGATTCACTTTGATGTACTAATTTGTTTTGAAGAAACTTTCCTAATATATTATATCATATTTTGTAGATAATTGTAGAATGGTTCTTTTATGGAAAGCTCAGAAGACTTACTTTTTTCAAGTGGAGCTTGCTTCATGAGCGGCCACCGAAGGCTGCTTCCCTCTATTCTATGGCATTATATTGGGCTTGTCACTTCAAGAATTGTTGGACTGATACAAGACTTGTGTAGAAATTTGTAGTGCATAATTAAATATTGTTTTTCTATGAATTATGTAAGGACTCACGATGTTCAATGCTAATATATGCTTTTGTGAGTTTGAATTTGGACTCGGGTAAAATAAGTGATTTTGTTGTATTATATCCGAACTCACTTTGTAGCATATGAGATTGATTTACGTGAATTTTCATATTAATTACGTGCACATAGCATGTTTCATGACAGCCACCCAGTCACGAAAGGTATTTCCTAATGGCAAAAGTCTGTCAAGAAATTGATGCTCTGTGACAGCTACCACCTTCACGAAAAAGTATTCCCAACAGTTAAGCAAAACTGTTAGAAAAATGGTCAAAACATGCAAATTGGGGGAATTGCTTTTTCGTTGCTGCTTGACAGTCACTTAACAGCTTGTGACTGCTTCCCCTCACCAAATATTAGATTTCGTGACTAATCAAGCGTGACTGACATTTTGTGACAGTATGTGGTCACCAAAGATCTTTGTGACAGGCTTTTGACTTTTCGTGAGAGTGAGGGGCAGTCACGAAAAATCCATTCTCTTGTAGTGTGAAAAGAAAAACCTGTATTCTGAAGAAACGGAACATAAGAATGTAACCCCTTAAATTTGAGCTATGGTAGACTTCAATTCAGATTTTAATATTTAGAGGATAAGGCACTGACTCGGTTATCAGAATATAACATGAAACAAATAGTTTTGAGTGAGCACAATACAAGTATATATGTGATCTAAAAGAAATGCAGCTTGTTATCAAGACAAAGGTCTTTGTACAGGGTAGCTCAAGCAGAAGTTCTGGTTGTGATCTTCATCCATGCAGAGATGAAAATGAAAAGCAAATAAACTCTAGTTTTATAAGCAAAATAGAAATGGCAATTTCTTTTTGCTGTTCTTATAGGTCAAATTGTCCCGCCGATGTGAGTATAGTAGAAACGATTTCTTGGGGTTAGTTTTGCTAGATTACTTAATGCCATAAAAAGGATAAAGAAGATTTTGTAAACAACTTGACAAATGCCCAGAAAATTAGCATCAGGTCAGCAAAAGGTTTTGGATCTTAACAAACAATCATGTAAATAGCTTATATAACTTAACTTTTTTAACGTAATGCTAACTAAATTTAAGCTCGAAATGAGTTGCTATGTTTTCTTTTTCTTTCTTTCTTTTTTTTCCTTTTGCAGATTAGTGCAGCAGCTACCTGACTAAAGGTGAATGCATAGCTGCTAACAAAGTATACATATAATGCAATGATTTGGAGGTCATTTGATCGATATCTGATTGACGTCCTCAACCGTTGACACATACTCATCAGATTATAATATAGCTGAAGGTTACGGTGAGATGCATCCAACAGGTCATTAATCTGCTCATTATATACATGGAAAGCATGAAGCATCATGTCAGATATGGAAACCTTGCTAAATTAATTAAATTCAGAAAAAAAATCTAGATGCATATTTTTTCAGTTCAATTATGAGGCTGCAGCTGCTGCGTATTAACCTGGCTGTCATCATGCGCGGGCACCCAGGAACCGTCGGGGGTGGTCGACTGGAGCATCTCGCTGAGGAGGATGTTGTCGTCGTCATGTCATCGACAGCGTCGCCGCTCAGCCCGTGCATGTCGTCCGAGGGGAGCCCAGAATGGGGATGGGCAGGAGGCGGCGCTGGCGCTCGTTCTGCACGGATCTGGCGCCCCTGAGCTAGTCCGACGAGGGACATGTGGCATGGCTTGGATGGTGCAACGGTGGCATCTGAAGAGGATGGATAGGAGGCGGTGATGGGGAGGAGAAGGTTGCGGTGGTACCATGGGGAGGAGATCAGAAGAAGGATGCAAGTATGCAACAGCGGCCGGCGACAATAGGAGGTGGAGCCATGAGGAGGGGAGGCGGCGGCGGTTTGGGATGGGAAGGGGCAAGTAGGTGCGGGCCGTGTGAGAGCAAGGATTGTAGTATTAGTTACAAGGTTGGTTGTAATTTTCTTCTCCTCTCTCTATCTCTCACTTATACATTTAATGTATTTGTCTTGGACATTGTGTTAAGTTAGCTCTTGCATGAGAGGCAACCTCTTGATTTTTTTTGTTACCTCTCTCCTCCACATAAGCTTATAGTAGGCTTATAGCTCACTATTATACTTGCTCTGACCGGATAGGACATGTGGCACGATTTTACCATATGTAAAATTGCTTCCAAGTTTAGCTACATGGTCCAATTAGCTCTATGGGATCGGACCCATTGGTATAAGATATTGCTGTGTTGCAATGCACTGGCACTCCACTAGTCTCATATAATTATTTACAGACTACTTCCTCCGTCCTAAAAAAAAGACAAACCATGGGTTTTCGTGTCCAACGTTTGATTGTCTGTCTTATATGAAATTTTTTTATAATTAGTATTTTCATTATTGTTAGATGATAAAACATGATTAATACTTTATATGTGACTTATCTTTTTAATTTTTTTCATAATTTTTTCAAATAAGACGGATGGTTAAACGTTGCTCACAGAAACCTAGGGTTTGTCTTTTTTTGGGACGGAGGGAGTATACACTAGAATCAACTATGAATTCAAATAACCAAAGAAAAAAAAAGCAGCTCATGATCACTCCTAGCACTACTGCACAAACCACCGGCCGAACCACCCTATAGATGGCCAAAAGGCCCGAGGCCCGACGGCCCGGCCCACGGCACGACGTTTTGGCCCGGTCCAAGCACGGCACGGCCCGTCAGGGGTCAGGCCCGTGCCAGCCCAGCCCGACCATCGGGCCGTGCCTGGGCCTCTCCACCGGCACGTTGGGCTGGCCCGGCACGGCCGGGCTGGTACGGCACGATGGGCCGCAGGCCAGGCCTGACACATAAACAATAGGGAGTAAAAATAGACATATTATATGCCACGGTCGAAAGAATAGGGACGTAAAATAGACTTATTTTAGCTATATATATGTCAGCCCAAAGCGGAGGGACGGAAAATAGACTTATTTTCACTTTATATATGTCACATCCCAAAGAGGAGGGACCGAAAATAGACTTATTTTCTCTATATATATATATGTCACAGCTCAAAGAGGAGGGACGAAAAATAGAATTATTTAAAAAAGGCACGATGGGCCACCCTCGCCTTCGGCCCGGCCAGACACGGCCCGACGGCTGGTGGGCCGTGCCTGGGCGGGAGGCGCAGCCCATTGGCCAGCACGGCCCGATCGGCATCATGCCGGCCCGATGGCTGGTGGGCCGTGCCTGGGCCGGGCCGTGCCGGGTGGGCCTTTTGGCCATCTATAAACCACCCCATCACTGCTTTTGAGCCTAGTGATACTATTTTGTCACACCCTATCCTGGCACCATCATATAGATAGTGCCAAGGAAGGTGTCCCACAGGGGAATGGTGAATCATTTCTTGCAGAACCACGATGTTAGTACCAATTCCAGAATATAGTTGCTGATACACACGGTAATTAAATGAATCATTGCAATACTAATAATTAATGATACCTTTAGATTGCATCTTCAGGTAACCCTAGAATAAAACCCTGAACCTAAAACAGCAATAACAGAACGTAACGTAGCTAGAACGTAACTAAAGAAATGCTATATGTTCGCCGGATTTAATCTATGTTCCGATGATCGTTTTTATCCCGAGTTTTGCGCAATCGGGCATGCGATGATTTGAATGCGGATTCACTCCGATTATAGAGAAAACCTAAAGAGGAGATCGAGAAAGATTCGGTCGCATTTGATGGGGAGGATCGGCCTCAGCATCATATAGGCATGGGACTGTTGTCCGGAGATTGAAGACGCTACTGTCACGCATGGGTCTGCTTGGCAATGAGAGGAGGCATCCGTGGCTGTGATAGTTGGGCCTATGGCTCTACTTGTGTATACGATCCTAATGTTTCAATCTATTGTTCAATCTATTGCTCCGCTTGTAATAGCTATTCGTATCTCCGAGAAAACACTTTTACCCATTGCAACGCACTAACATTTTCTTTCTAGTTTTAATTAAAAAATAAAAAAAATCCCTCAAGCTCAGTAATGCTATTAGCCATTCTCCCTCGGAATAAGTTAACTTTAGGTCTCTTAATTTGTCATCTAGTCTGATTTTCATCCTCGGTCTGGAAAACCAGATACAACCTATCCTATAACATACAAAACCAATGCAGACGAGGTCCCATTGCCTAGGTCTTAGGCGACGTGGCGCCTACATGGCATCTTTGACATGGCTCTTACGTGGCATAGCAAAATTGAAATATAAAATAATTAAACAAAATATGTGGGACCCACATGTCAGTCAAAACAAAAAAAATTTTATGGGACCCACATGTCAGTGGGACCCACTTCTTCCACCTCTCCCTCTCTACCTTATCTCCTCCTCTTCACTGGAGACAGGCGAGGCAGCATATAGAGGCGCTATTTCTCTCCCCCACCGGCCGCTGCATGATGCTCCTCTCCACCGTGCGCGGCGGATCCGCTCATACGGCCTCTGCCTGGTCAGGTTGGCGAGGGGGCGGGGAGGCCGACAGCGGCGACGACATCATCGACAGGAATGAGAAGGAGGAGGGGAAGAGGAAGGCCCCCGCTCAATAGATGCTCGCTCGCGCGCTCCTCCTGTCTCCTGCCGCCTGCGCGCGGCGCTCCTCTCTATTGCCGTGGCGCCATAAATCCGCTTGCTCGGCCTCCGCCCGACGAGGCTGGCGAAGGGGCAGGCAGGCTGACGGCAGTGATGACGTCGTGGACATGAACAAGAAGAATGTGGGGAAGGGGAAGGCCCCCGCTCCGGCCGGCTGGGGCGTTCCTCCTCTGTCCCGTCGGCCGCGCGCGACACTCCTGTCCACTGCCGCTGCCCCGCAGATCCTCTCACTTGGCCTCCGCCCGACGAGGCTGGCGAGGGGGCGGGGATGCTGACGGCGGTGACGACATCGTGGACATGAACAAGAAGAAGGTGGGGAAGGGGAACCGGCCGGCCGGGGTGCTCCTCCTCTGTCCCGTCGGTCGCACGTGGTGCACCTATCCACTGCCGCTGTGCCGCAGATCCGCTCACTTGGCCTCCGCCTGGCGAGGCTGGCGAAGGGACTGGGAGGTCGACGGCAGCAATGATGTTGTTGATGGGGACGAGGAGGAGGGGAAGGGGAAGGGGAAG